TTGGCAAAAAGCGACCAGCTGGTGTGTAGCAAAGGGCTGCAAGAAACTGCATGATCTGCTTGCTGGAACAGTGCTGGCGCAACAAGGTGGCGACCGTCACGTAGGTCTTCAGTATGTCGATGGAGGTGCTTGCTCGTCTGGCGTACTGCAGCGATCTCTCTGCACTTGCTTGCAGTTTTGAAGGTTCGACCGCCTTTTGGGCCACCTGAGAAAAAGCTTCGAAGGCGACCGGCATGAAGTTTTCCAAGAAAGATAGGAACACCACAAAGCTCACGTCTGTCAAACGGCGACCGACGTCCATCAAATTTCTCAGACTTCGGGCTCCGTGCTTTTGCTGCTTCCAAGCCAGTCTTGCATGCATAGCGGTGACGACCGGCCTGAAATTCTTCAAAAGCGACAAACGGAAAAATACAAACATCCGTGTTCCGCCAGGTGCTCCCAGGGTGCCGACCGGCTCACCAATTTGTTTCGAAACTCCTCGCAGCAAGGCCCGACCGTCGCCCATGAAAAAGGTCTTGTCCAAAACAGATACGATGTCCATAGCTTCTGTAGCTGCATCGACAGACTTGATTGCCCGATCCAGTGCGGTTTGTTCCTTCGTAGTTCGACCAACAGTGTGTACATATTACAATTGAACATATCGTTTGATTATCACAACTATTGCTTTGTAGCTATGCTTCACGGTGCATCAGGCCCCAGTCCGTCATGACCGGCACAGGGTCTCCATCCCAAACAGAATTGAAAACTTCAGACCATATCAGTTCCGCCGAAGCTGTGCTCTTGTGCCGAGCCAACCGACCACCCATGGCATTGGCGCCATCGCCGACAACCATGGCTAAAGATGCCGCCAGTGACCGGCTGCTAAAATGGGCAGGGTGCTCCTCCAGAATCTCCAACGCGACCTTCTTCAATTGTGGACCTGCATGATCACCGACACCCAAAGTCTTCCCGCCAACCATCGGTGTGTAAGCACGACCTGTGGCAAATTATTAGTTGTTAATTTATTCTGTGAAAAAATAGATAGAAGACACAAAGGTGACCGGCTAGTGCCATGATGCTTTGGACATGAAGAGGAAGCCTGTGCTTTGGCTCACGACCGACAGTCCGACCAGCAACACATTGTCCCGCTTCAGCATTTGTTCTTTGCCAATGGAGATGGAGTCCAACATGACACCTTGCTTAGTGAGATGAGCCACATCACTGATTCACACACACAGTTGCAGCATCGACTGTCTAATCTGGCGGCAAAGCACAGAAGTCGCTTGGAATGCCTAGGCCAACGACCAGCCGTTGAAAATCCATCGCATCCAAATTCTGCAATGCCCTGGCGGCATAGAACTCCACCTCGCGGCAGAACGACCGGCTGCAAGGCCAATGGCCCAATTGCACTCCACGCCGGCGGTTCCTCTCGGCATCTCTTTCAAAAGAGAGGAAGGACCGGCCTTCGGATGCGTTGGAAAGGCAAATGTCGACTACTGTGTCCAGTGACAGCTCCTTGTCGACCGACACGGCCTTCTGTTTCCTTTGTATACCCTCCTTCTCTTTCTCTTTGAGCTTCTCGCGTTCAAACTCTTCAAGCTTCGACCGGCTCTGCATGGATCGTTCTACGCTGGTGGTTCCCAAACCCAATAGAGCTGCTGCTACCCTTTCGACCAGTGATTTGCCAGCAAACTTCCTTTCAGGCAGCAGTTATTGTATTGAATCAATTACTTAAATTAGTTAACTGAAATAATTTTGCAGATGATAATTGATAAACCTATAAAATATTGGATTTGGAAGACCCAGCCTGACCGGCATGTATTTCATCACGGCCGACAAGACGTCTTTCGGGCAGCGCTGAAGGTTGGTCATGACATTGACCGACAAAACTTGGCCTTGGCCTTGCAAGGCAGCATGTCTGTCCACGAACGTACCACAGTTCTCCCCTGGTCGCCAAAGGCGACCGTCGACTTCATCTTCGACCGGCATTTCGGCTTCGCTGTCAGAAACACTGGGTTCGGATGCAGCATCGGCTGACGAGGAATCAAAGTTTTGTGTGCAAGCGACCGACTCGGAGGTTTCTGACCTTAAAGAAGGCACAAACTCCTCGTCAGACATGGCTCCGTCAGACATGGCTCTTATGGATGGCGATCAACTCTACCCCAGCAAAGGTTCATGGGTTGCGTTTTGGGTGAGGTGTGCTGGCCAAACTGCTTTACTGATTCCTGATGTCTGTCAGTTCTGGAGAATGAGATGACGTCCAGGCACAGTTGCATCAAGCACTTCGGTTGCCTGTCTGACAAACACTGGGAAGCCCTGGCTGGGTGACTGACTGAGAAACTGTGCAAAGTCCAAGAACACTTTTCTCAGCTTCACCTTTCACATCTCACAATACGGCTCTTAGTCTCAATGTGATGGATGCTGGGACCCTGGCAAGGCCTTGGCGACCGGCTGGCATGATGCGCGAAGTCAAGAACATTTTGTGCACCTCCAGTCTGATACTGGCTCTTGAATTGTCCTCTCTGCAAGTGTTGCCAGTTGAATGAAAAGCTTCTGGGCAAATAGCGGGGATGGAACTGCTCTCCACTGTCATCGGACAGAGAACCTGAGCAGGGTGAAATGACATTTGTGGTGTCATCATCAGAATCAGAATCGACACATCTTCCACCATGAACCATTTTTCTGATGCTGCCACAGAGCCCCAGACCGTCGGACGAATCAGCAAAACTCCACAAAGTGTCAAAACAATTCTGTCGACGGGTTATCCCCGATGGCAGAGTCGACCGTCGGACGAATCAGCAAAACTCCACAAAGTGTGCACACAATTGTGTCGACGGGTTATCCCCGATGGCAGAGTCGACCGTCGGACGACGAATCAGCAAAAAATCCGCGTGAAGTGGGAAAACAATTCTGTCGACGGGTTATCCCCGATGGCAGGCTTAACATGCGGATAGTTATAGTTGTCAGCGACCGACTTCAGTGACCGACTTCGCGACCGACAAGCAAGCCGAGATGTCCCGGCTTGCCGGGAATGATCAGCTGTTTGTCGATCACTAGGCAAGCTTTGACCGGCGTGAGACTCCCTTTGCTGCCATTTTTCATCACCCACCTCCAAGAAGCATCCGTGGCCTTGTTGAGCTGGGCCATCACGACCGACGCGTCATCTCCTGGAACCCAAACCATCTGCTGGTTAGGTTTCAGACCGGCCGATGGGAGGGAACCTTGGGTGAAGGAAGGCGGGATGTGCTCCCAAACGGAGTTCGACTTGAGGCTGGCGACCGCGTCTGCGACCGTCACTTGCTTCCCATTGACAATGACCTTGTCCTTCGAAGAGGTCAGCTTGTACTCCAGACCGACAGCACTGGAGTTTTTGCGGAAACGACCGGCGCTGCAATCCAGAGTGTACACAATTGTGCCTGGAGGCAGCCTCTTGTTGGTGGAGGTTCCGACCGGCAAAAGGATCCTCAAGTTCTGCAAGTCCAAGCGAAACGTGGCATCACCCACGATGAAATTGGCGACCGACGCAGGGTTCAGCTCCGGCTCCGGGGCTGTTACATCAGCTTTGACGACCGGCGGCGAAGTCTCAGCTGCAGCAGACGGGGCTGGCTTGTCGACCGGCACTGGACCAGTAGCGGGAGCCGGAGTGACCGGAGCCGGTGCGACCGGCGAAGGCTTGGCCTTGGCCTCTGAGGTTCGGGGCTTTTTGCCAGCTGGCTCCACTGTTGTCTCTTCCTTGACCGGCGGCTCATTCACAGGCTCCTGAAACCACTTATCCATGAACTGCTTCTTGCTGGCAGCGAGCTCGACCGGCGTGGCTTGTGACCTGTCAGAGTAATAATAAACGTGCTGCATCAGCAAGCAATGGACTCGACAGCAACCTAACTATCGCAGCCAGGTGGCGGATCATAGTCTGGACCCAGGTCGACCGACACGACCGACTTTGCAGCAATGCCACACCCATTCCGTGTCTTGACGACCAATGCGATGAGACCGTCAGAGGCGCCCTGGCTGATGTCAAAGTTGAAGGCCGCGTTTGCTCGCTTTGCGGCTTTACTGAGCGGGGCGACGTGGCTAGCAGCCCCAATTAACAGTGACCAGACCGACGAGGAGCGATCCTCTGTCAAACCGACGCAGTCCGTCCTGAGCACAGGATTCTTGGCGAGGTTCACTTTGTCGGAGTTCACGACCGACAAGAGGCTTGCCATGTTGTCGAAATGCAAAGCACTGCATGTGCATATCAAGTCCCCCTCCTTTTTAGGGACAGTCGTGATGAGTGCAACATGACCGTCGATGACCGACAATCCCAGGTCATACTTGACCAGCTCCTCATGTGTGAGATCGTTGCATTTCTTCTCCATGTCATTGTAGTTGGCAACCGACTTGTTGATACCTCAGTTCGGAATTGCACACGTCCTATCATAATCGATCAATGCATGACATGAAGGTCAGAACTCAAGCCAAAACACCATTTCGCCAGGTGCTCTCGACCGGAATCTCCAACAGCTTGAACACTGAGCCCTCTGCTGCATAGGGGTTAAAGACCGGCACACACGGGATGTGTGTCACCTTGCGCTTCAAGTTCAATGACCGGCTAGCTTCATCCAGTTTCAGGGCGGTGCACATGTCGTCGAGCAAGACTCGGCCATGTGCCATGGAGTGCCTGAGCTTAACATGCATTCCTGCGAAAAGCTTTTGGTTGACACACGTTTCATGCTTTGTCGGCAAGATGCTCGACCGGCCCACGAACCATACCTATGACTGTGGAGACGACCGACTGGACCCCAACGAAGATGGAAGGATGGGCTGTGCGTGTGGAGACCGCCATCCACCTGCACTGATCACCACGGAAGACTTCTCGCACGACCGACGCATGGTGATCCCAGCATTTGGCCACCAACCACAAATCCACAGGATACTTCTTGTCGACGGACGCTTCGACCGCCTGTGTGTCAGGACCGGCTTCCTCTGTGGTGTCCAACGTCTTGCTATCCTCTGGCTGCTCTTGGTCACTGACCGGCAACTCCTCCCAGATTCAGTAAAGTGATTGATGACGTCCACATCAAACCCTGAACTGCACCTGGACTGCACCTGAACTGCACCTGAATGGCACCAATATAGAAAACCTCATCACCTGAACTGCACCTGAACTGCACCTGACCTGCACCTGCCGCCCTGCCCCCCACAAAGGTCCTCTGTGGGATGGGCCGGCATGTCTGTCATGGGTTTGCACGGCCTGAGCTTGCCTCAGTAGGAGGGTGGGTTAGTGTGGGCAGTGGGGCCATTAGTCTAGTTTCAAGGATTCTTTTAATTTAATTCAAAGGCACAATTGTAGTCGGTGCAGCGCATCTGTAACTTCTCATAGGCAAATGACCGGCATTTGTTGACAGTCACATGGCTCGGCACCACCTCCTTCGCAGAGACCGACAACTCCGACTGTGAATAGACCATGTAAGTCGGTCGACGATTCCGGGACTGTTCTGGACCGGCAGTGAAGGTGATGACGTACGCCTCACGGTTTGGGATCATCGTCTGCAGCTGGTTCCTTAGCTGTAGTGTTGCATCGACCGACCAATTGGATTGTCGCACCCCAAAACTTGCACTGACCACGATTGCCACTGCAGATGCTTTAAATCTTTTTTTGGCTTCCTGCATGCCCCTTCACACAGAAATTTGACACCCGACGACTGGCGGTTCAACGACCAGCGTGGTGTCTGTACTTCTCCTCTGCAGCAATAATGAAAAGCCTCAGCTGCTGTCGCTCGTTCGGCAGCTTTTTCAAGAAAGCTCTTATGTCTTCTTGAGCGCCAGAGACGACCGGCACGTTCTTATCAATTCGGGAATTGATGAAGGACATGTCATACAGCACCTTCACTGTGACAAACAAATGACACAGTGTCGATGTTGTGAAGATCGCAAACAAGAGACACCCGACCGCCCAAAGATCAGCTGTGGGTGCCAACCTCACCCTTACAGCAAAGCTACGACCGGGTTCCTGTGACCCGCTAAGCTCCGGAGGTCTGTACGCTGCAGAGTACACCTCGTCACCATAGACAGCTGTCCCGACCGGCTCAGTGAGGCCGAAGTCTGCCCTGCCCAGCGGGCTCGAACATGGGGGGCAGGACCGACAAGTATGTTCTGTGGCTTCACATCACAGTGCACAAGCTTGTGACAGTGCAGATACTGGAGTCCATGTGCAAGATCGACCATCAGATGCCATTTGTGTGGGCACTTTGCGGCCTTGGGCTGCGTCTTCAGCCAAGCGTCCAATGTCACCGGCACATACTCCAAAAGAAGGCCCACGAGACCTCCGTCGACCGACATGACTGGCCCATAACAATGCAGGATGGTTGGGTGGCGTAGACTGAGGAGAACGTCTAGCTCCCTCTTCACGTCCCTGCTGCCGACCGGCAACCTCGACATGACAAGATGCAGCACTAAACCCAAAGTCGACAAAGACATCATTCGTTCATTCATTCATGATTGTTCAATCACATGAACCTTAATAATAAAATGAATAGCCAAGATGCTTCACTGCGAACTCCGTTCCCATCAAGTTTTCACAGCGGCAAACTGTGCCATGGGCGCCTTGTCCCAGGGTCGACCGACTGGAAAGTGCCATGCCTTCAAAGGAGAACCTCAATTCATTGACGAGGTTCTCATCGACCGGTGGCTGCTGGTCACTATCATTCTCAGGCTTCGGGTCTCTGACCGGCGAGTCGACTTCCACTGGAGGATGAGCGAGCTCCCTCTTGAGGGCGTTGTGCTTTCTGTGATCCTTGACCGCCGCGTCCACAAAGGGTTGTTTCTCCTTTTTTGACATCTGCTTCCATCGCGACCGGCTCTGATCTAAGTTTTTCAAGAAGGTTTTGACTCGAAGGCGCTTCAATGGAGGGTCGACCGTCCCTGTCCTGGCGACCGTCGCACAGTAACGGGCATAGGGCCCTGCCACCCTCTTCAGCCCGAGGCTTTTGTTACTGATTCGACCCATGAAGGTCGACCGGCCGTTTTGGACTTGAGCCGAAGCAAAGCTGAGCACAGCAGTCGACCGACAAGTCTAGAAAGAACTCTGTGCCATCCAAGGTTCACGACCAACGTCACTAAGTCGTGGCGCTTTCCACAGAAGATGCCCATGGACACGTATTGCCGATCTACGACCGACGTGACGACCTTCCACAACTCTGCCATGTCCCCCAAAATGATCTTGGCCTTCGACGTGGCCTCATCGATGTAAATGCCGCCACGGGTCGTCGCCCGGCATAGACCGACGAAGCCATCACCAAAGGTCTTCATGTCATGAAACAGATGAATGTTGGAGCGGACCGACAAGCCGAGCTCCTCAGCTTTTTCAAGAACAGGATCCTTCTCCACCAGTGGGGCCTCCATCGTGCTGTCGTCAGCCAAGATCCCAGACTCGTCGTCTCCCCCCTCAACGACCAGCTTGTGCTCTGTGACCGTTGCTTTGGCCGCATCCACAGCACTTTCGGCTTCATCCACTGCACGACCAGCGGCCAGATTCTTCAACCCTTGGAGGACCGACACACACTCAGGGATGCCACTGCCCTCGATCTTCGGGTCACCAGACAGACCGACGCCAAGACGCATGCACGTCCTTGGCAACCCCATCACCAAAATAATGAGACATGGCACTGAATGTCAGTCATAGTTCATAGTGCTAGCAAGCCTCAAAATGCGCGACCGTCCACGCTCACTCCACAGCATCTTCTGACAGCGGTCATACGCTGGTAGGCGGCTCACGACCGACGAGTACTTCTTCATGACCAACTGACACCACAACTGTGCCTTCAACATTGGGGCACAAAAGTCAGACATGAAGGTCGGTATGGAAGAGACCGTCCCGCGACCGTCACAGAAGTCATAGAAAAGCTGCAGAGCAGCAATCTGCTGCTCGGGTTCCAGGAGGAAGCCTGAGCCAACTGCATTCCGCGACCAACAATGCAGGGAAACCTAACAGCATGGCATGCCGCCGAGTTACGTGTCTCTTCTCCTTGACCGACGAAGTACTTGTTCGTGAAAACAAGTCCCTGTGGCAGGTCGGGCTTCTCCTTCAGCTTGATCAGGACCGGCTCTTTTAACACTGCAGTCGCTTTGCACCAGTTGTGGATTGTTGACCGGCGTGACTTGCCCAAAATTTCCACCATGGCGTTCTCGGCGTCCTGACAGATGAGACTCAGGGCCAGCAACAAAACAGGTGGTCGACCGACTGTCCTTTATCAGACCGCCAGGAACTTTGGCGACATAAGCACGCACAAGTTTGATCTTGTGCTCGACCGACGTCGTCCGCAACTTGTTGGCCTCCTGCTCATGGGCCATGGTGTAGAAGAGCTTGACCGCCGCCTGACACAGGAGTAACTAGTGACCGTCATGAGTGTCTAGTCATACTGCACATCCCTGGCCTCATCATCATCCGAGAATTTGATGCAATCAAAACGCATTCCGACCGTCAGAATGTCCTTGATCTCACCTGTGTACCACTCGAGCTGCGTTGCATCATCGGACTGAGCGACCGTCTCAGCAGCTTTCCTCGGTCAGAAAGTAATTTAAAATTAAGGGAAATGAAAACCGTGGACTTCGACCGACTCTTTTCTGACCAGCTGACAAACCAGTGCACACCGGAACGTGGAATTGGACCGACAAACTACACGTCGTCAAGTATCTTCAACGCTGCGATACAGTGCTTGCCATCTGCCAGCTTCGACCGGCCATCAGATGCGGCCATAGGACGACCAGCAGGATCATACCTGCGAAACCCAAGAGTGAACTACCAAGCACGAGAAAATAAACTTTTCGACTGGCCTCAGCTTCGGTCGGGACAACGAAGCCTGGCCCCAACGACCGGCCAAAATCACCTTCTCATACAACTCCAGGACACGATCCTCATCGACGTCCCGATGGCCGGAATCATGGGCGACCGACACGTCGTCAAGCTTTAAGAGCTTGCTCTCCACGTAGACCGGCGCGTAAGCAGGAGTGCCTGCTTTCTTGGACATGGCTCGACCGGCCGACTTGGGTCGGAACCCCGAGGATCGGTTGCTAAGGCTTGTAAGCCCAAACTCCAGGTAGGCAACGGCACGACCGACACTCAGAGATGTGCTTCCAAGATCATCGACCGGCCTGCCGATGTTGAACCCACAAGATAGGCCCACAAGGCTTAGCAACCTATTCTGCTGGTTCAACTGGAAGAGCATGCACGACCGGCTAAGGTGCTGCAACATATGTGTCAGAGTGGGACCGACCTAGGACGATGCAGCACTAGACCGACTTTAACCCCCAAGATAGGACCACAAGCCTTAGCAAAGCATCCTTTGGGTTCAACTTAGTGAAGGCATGTATTCAACCTTGGAGGTCATCTCTGGCTCGGGCTGTCGACCGATGTCTGAACTGGTAACTTGGGGCTACAAGCCTTAGCAACCGATCCTGGGGGTTCCGAACCAAATGCAGCCCAGAGTGGATTCCAGAGCATGTGCCATGCGCTGGAATGCACCATGGACCGCCAGACTGGCATGCATTGTGCTACCAAGTCAACAACTTGACTACATGACAGAACCAACAGGTAACAAACAAAGTCAGGTATGCTGCACTCAATCTCGAACACTAAGTCGACTGGCATGCCCTCTCACGTGCTTCACATTTTAAACACATGTCTCGCTGGCTGCTGAAACCGACAGACGACTGTGGCTCTATGCACACATGGCATGGCCGACAGCTGGCAGGACAGGCTGCATCTGGCATTCAGAAAACACTATCGTCATGATCATGATGGTCTGTCATTATTTGACCGACAACTGCCAGGGCCAGCCTGCCTGCTAGAGTGAGGAAAAAGGCCTTTGACTCGACCGGCGTGGTGGACATCAGCTAGACTCAGCGACCTGGTCCATGACGAGCGGCTGCTTTGTCTTGCCTGCAACATCTTCCTCGACCGACTCCATGACGAGTGGCTGCTTTGTCTTGCCCGCCAGATCCTCGACCGACACCGTTGTCTTGCCCGCCAGATCCACGACCGACTCTTTGGCGAGCATCTCATCCATTTCTGCGACCAGCTTCTTCTGTATCGCGAGCAGAGTTGACGACCGACTGTTCAGCTCCTCCAACTCTTTATCGTTCTGGTACATGTATTCTTTCAGCGTCTCGAGGTTCTTTAACTTCACGAAGTCACCGACCGGCACCTTGTTGCTGAACTGAACCATGACCTTGTAGTCCGCGGCGACCGACTCAACGCCCATCTGGGGAAGCGTCGGCGCGTAGTAGTAGTCCTGAGCAGACAGCTTATGCTGTAGATTGCAACTGCAGGATTAGAAATCATGCAACTGCAACATCACTGAATCGAATGCCACCAAAGCACACAGACCGGCGACATGCTTTCATCATAGTGAAGGAGTCCAACTGGAAGCATGCCCACTCCATAGTAGCTCAGCCGCACATCGACCGCCGTGCCGCCACCTGCCAGCCAACACATCAGCGCAGCCTTCGTCGGGTTACTGAAATACATATATCCAGTGCCACCCCGACCGACTGTGGAGGAAGGCCGCTTTTGCCCTCGGGGCTTGTTCATGCTGTAGCTAGCTTCTTCACGACCGACAGCTCCGTCACATCATCGGAGATCTTGTAGAACACGAAAGCAGGCTTGTCGACCGGCACGTCACTTGGCAACGCCTCCACCTCGAGGCGGGCGTCCATGCGTGTGACTTTGAGGTGCTTCTCGACCGACAAGTCGAGGTTCCTCACGACGAAGCCGTCGTTGGTGCATGGTCTGACCGACCCTTGTTCCATAGCCAGTTGGAACTCATCGACCTGCACTTCCAGCACGACCACGAACCGGGTCAACAGAAGTTTGACCTCATCTTCCCGACCGGCATTATCAGTAACACACATGATTGTGCCCCCAGCCGAAACACGATGGGCCTGCTCCTTGTGCTTCGACCGTTGGTACATCGGCCCCGGAATGGGATCCGTGTCGGAAAGCTGGTATTGCAGCCTGACCGACCGGGCAGTTCAGAACTAAGGACGACCTACACTACTGCATCCTCGCTGGTCATGATAAATGAACTGAAACACAGCAGCAAGCCACCTGCGACCGACACCAGCGATAGCCTTATAGACAGCGACCGATGGGGAGAAATAGGCCTGGACGTCGGGAACTGGGTTCCAGAGCCAGTGCTCCCACTGGTCGACCGACACTCCGACCTAACCTGTCTTGGCCATAGCGACGGGGAGTGGGGCCGGCAAGTCTCGTGAAGCTGAAATTGCTTTGTGGCATGGCAGGCATCATAGACATAGACCGACTGTGACTGTGCCCAACAACTGCAGGTAACCAATGAGGACCAGGCCAACCGGCACCCGCTGATCAGACATCATAGAGCTGGAGTCCAGTTCTATGGTGTCTGACCAGATGGTGATGGTAGGCGACCGACCTTGGCAAATATGAATCATGAAGTCATAGCTAGTTACAGTATCCAAAGCACGCTGCCCACGCATGTGTCTGAGAACACCACCGGCAAAGAAAGTAGATCTGCTTCTGTCTGGACCTCAATACTTAAGGTGACTGGGATCTCAAATTGGCATGGACCTGTTACTGCTACAGGAGCCCGACCTCCCAGAGCATCCAAGGAGCTCCTCAACCCTTCGTCGGCGCCACTCAGCCAGTCGTAGTCGACTGGCTGAGCGGTGCCGACGAAGGGTTGAGGACACCTGTCGATAGCTCTCCTCGACCGGCAACACTTCCTGACCAGGTGTTGCTAAGTCAATCATTACAGCAGTGTCCAGCATTATTGAATGCTGATCGACACTGAGGCCTGTACCCTGAGCCATGAAGATTTACATTGGGTGGTCTGGGAGGTGATAGACCTTGAGCGAACACACACATAACACTTTCGAAAGTACACTGCCCACGCATGTGTCTGAGAACACCACCGGCAAAGAAAGTAGATCTGCTTCTGCCTGGACCTCAATACTTAAGGTGACTGGGATCTCAAATTGGCATGGACCTGTTACTGCTACAGGAGCCCGACCTCCCAGAGCATCCAAGGAGCTCCTCAACCCTTCGTCGGCGCCACTCAGCCAGTCGTAGTCGACTGGCTGAGCGGTGCCGACGAAGGGTTGAGGACACCTGTCGATAGCTCTCCTCGACCGGCAACACTTCCTGACCAGGTGTTGCTAAGTCAATCATTACAGCAGTGTCCAGCATTATTGAATGCTGACCGACTCTGAGGCCTGTACCCTGAGCCATGAAGATTTAGATTGGGTGGTCTGGGAGGTGAGAGACCTGGACTGAAAATTTCAATCCAGGTCTATGCCTCCCAGAGCACCCGAGGAGCTCGACCGGCAACACTTCCTGACCAGGTGTCGCCAAGATGTGGCAGAGAAGCTTTATGGATCAATCGGAGCACCTTGGCTTAAATATATATATATATATGTTGCAAGATAGTGACTGTCACTATCACTAGAGCCGATGTATTTAAGCCAAAACTGTGTGATGCTATGGGCAGGGACCGGCCAAGTAGTCTTACTCTGACCAGACCAGAGATCCTGGTAAGTTCATTCGTGTCTTTTTTGTGTAATACAGCATACCTTTTACTATTTTATGATTTGTATACCTCACATATGGTTGTGCAGCATCACCACACCTGAACTGCACCTGAACTGCACCTGAACTGCACCAATCTATAATAGCACGAACGCTGAACTGCACCTGAACTGCACCTCAACTGCACCTGAACTGCACCAGCATTATCCATGTTCATGGTTTCCCCCAGAAAGAATAAACAGAACAGACCGGCTAGTAGACCTTCTTGAATAATTAATTCCTACTAAGGGATATAGGTAAACTTATAGGGCTCTGTCTATTATTTCTAAAAAGGACAAGCGTGAACTGCACTGGAACCTTTGTGAATCAAAGCATCAAACCCAGCAGTCCTCCTGGACTGTGTCAGACCGTCGCTCAGCCGAGGCCATTGGGGGATCTTGTCATTTTGACGAGATCCCCCGATGGCCTCGGCTAGCCTGGCTCAAGGTGCCAAACAATGCATCTTGACTTGGCTCTGTGATCCTCAGATGAAACGTTGACTTAGTGCTGGACGACCGACTCGTCGCCGGGCCGGCCTGCCACGTCGGTGGTCTGTCCATCGGTCTGATTTATTTATGATTACACCTCACGAATCCGCCTCATGCGGGACACTGACCGGCCCCATGTGAAGCTCTCGCCTTGGAGCAAAAAGTAGACAGGTAAATACCGGAACACCCACTGCATCCAGGGATGTGGCAGGTCATGAAGATGTTGCCGAAAGCCTGTCCACGGGAAAATGCATCATTGCTGTAAACAAATGAGGTGGCACCCATGATGCATGAGCTGCACTTGTTTTGCCATCATTGCACGACCGTCGGTTTCTGCTCTGATCCGAGTCGATTCGAGCTGAAGACGGGACCGGCCACGGTAGGTTCTCATTTGAAGAGCTGAATTCTGAATGTGGCCATTAATGGCAACTCAATGAGAAGTGTTGCATAGTTTCATTGACTAAGTCGGTATATTAAGACTTGACTGACTGACTTAACTTATTCCAAACAAATCTAAACCGAAGCTGCCCCGTCTTCTGCGACTGTCGGTCCCGCAAGCGCTGTCGCAAACGACGACACGACAGAAAAAACAGGCGACCGACTCTTGCTGGCGGTCACGGTCACGACCCCATTGTTGCAGCTCCCATCAGGGATCCTGTGAACGTCAGGTGTTTGTGGAACTTGACAGTCAACATGACATGAACGCAAACACACACACACACACACAGTCGGAAGTCCTGCTGATGACCGTCTTGTGGCTGGTCCTCCGATGTTGAAGCACAGCTGTGACAGTGAATGCACTCTGACTACTCGTGTCTCTTGACCCCAGCTTCCAATCCAAGTGGAGGCCTCCCTCGCAATGCAATCTTATACTTATGTGTCCCCGACGACCAGCAGTACAAACACATGTTCAGGAGTCCTACTGGTGTTGGAAGGGATC